TAACAAAACTCATTATTGTACTGACTTCCTTATTGTCTAATGACTTTCTGAATTAAGAGTTCTAAACTGTCCTTGAATTAAGTTCTAAATTATTTTAGTCGATCTTCAAATGACCCTTCCTACCTCTTTTCCCCCTACACAATCAATCACACACTCAATTCATGTATTTGGTATCTCTAAAAATTTCCATCTCTAACTGTTCTGAAGGATGCAAGCAGAAGTCGCGCAATATTTTGGAGATTTTGTACTTTTATACAATGACCACCACTGGCTTTGATTTCCATTCTTTAATAAAAATAAATACACCTAATCTTTGGTATTCCCCTTTTATCCTTGCACTTAATTTTGCCCTCTGATCATAAAACTCATCTCTCTACTTCTCTAGCCAGCCTCCTCCCTATTATGTACTCAGAAGCTTTTATATAATGACTTTGGAGTCCCTGGCAAGTTGACCTAAAATCTCTTTTGGCTTACATCTGATGTACGTCTTACTTGCAGTATTTTATAGATTTGTTTATCATTCTTCTTGAGCAATCACTCCAATTTCTGAAAACTACTTTTACTCCCTTACAATAGTCTATTTTATTTTAAGGCAGCAATTTCTGAGAGTGGTAATGCTTATAGCTTAAATTTCATAACACAATATTCTTTTCTTCCTTTTTGAGTTAAGGTGAAATGAAATGAACTCTGCTTCACTGTTTAAGAACTTTTAAACATATCTTGAAGCATCTGCAGACTGAAAATTACCACAAAACCCAAGATTGTATATCATTTCTTGAAGTTGCTTTTCATTAATTTCTGATTTCAAATGATGAAGCAACAATAAAGCACAGTAAAGAAGTCAAAAATTTTTGAGTGAAAACTGGTTTTATATCCTAGGCCAGCCACTTATAATTTATATGAGAGAGAACAGTTAATTAACTTTTTTGATCCTCAGTTTTCTTATATGTAAAATGGTGAAAAATAATGTAATAATTTCACAGGGTTATTATGAGAATTGAGAAAACATAATCACAGAGTCTGGTACATAGCAGACATTCACTAAATATTAGTTCACAGCCTCCTTAACTGTTTGCTTGCATATCACCAACTCAATATATTTAGGAATTTCATTTATTTTTACAATTTCCTATCCGTGGAGCTTAAATTTTAGCTTCCTCTTATGATATAAAGAAGAATAAGAAGGGCCTCCCTGGTGGCGCAGGGCTTTAAGTCTCAGCACTATGAAGCTATCTGCGGCCTCTACAGCACGAGTTCGATCCCTGGCCAGCCAAGGAGCGGGCCCACAGGGCACAGCAGACCTCTGGTGTCTCGCCCGCTGCTCCCCTCAGCAGTGTATTTCAGTAGATCCACCTGTTCTGTTCCCCACTCTGTCTCTGTCTCTAGTGTATTCTCTCATGCCCTGCACCTCTGGCTTGTACCCCAGTTCTAATATGCATAAATAAATCTTTAAAAAAAAGTATAGTAAGGAGAGAATCAAACTTAAATATGTGGATATATATATAATCCATGTGAAATTTCAAAGAAGAGTTTCAGATATGTTAAAACATGTTTTAAATAAAAAAATAATTGAAAAATAGTGATTGTGATCTATTTTTATAAAACACTGATACATAGTTGATAGGTTTTAGCTTTTATGAATCAGTTTTACTATATTGGATGTGTAGCTAATTTTCTTACATGTTACACTATCCTACTAACATTAGGAGTTACACTTTTCAGGAAAGTCCTGAAAACTAAAAGGCTACTACTTCATATAACTAAGTTTCTTTCAAACTTTAAAAATTGGTAATAACCTGTTTTAACTTTAAAAGAAACATTTAGTTTATTTTGTACTTTTCTATGAAAACCAGCTTTTCTAACACAAAGCTTTGCCATGATCTCTGAGTATTAAACAATCATTTGTGCATAAGTACAAATAAGTACATAAAAAATAAATGACACTTTATTCAAGGCACCACACTGATATTTTTGCCTATATTTTTACTTTTTTAACCTAAATAGGCTAATGAACATCAATTCTTGATCCCCAAAGGGCTTACCTGAGAAGAGTTATTTAATTTACAGCAGTAGATAGATATTTTAAAAACTTTAAAATAAGTTGCATTAAAAAAATGGCATGAAAATGTTTTACCTTGTTGGCAAACATTTTATTTTCTCCTATTTTCAATGAGATTGTCGAGTATGTCCCACATTTAGCTCATTTATTCTTTTCCTAAAACCCTCAGTCAGTTTCCCATCACTTTCAGTTCCCCAAATTATCAACTCTTTTCTGTTACCTCTTCACTAGTCATGGCCTGGATCAATGATTCCCAACTGAAGGAAAATAGGACTTAAAGGACACTTTGAAATGTATAACTTTTTTGGTTATCAGAATTTAGGAGAGAAAATATTTGGTGGGAGGGGACTATTGATCCTAGATGTCAATATTAAAACCAAGGAGGGCCTTCCCCGGTGGTGCAGGGGTTGAGCGCTGGACTGTGGGGCTGCCTGCAGCCTCTGCAGCGCAGGTTCGTTCCCTGGCCGCTGGTAAGGGTCCCACAAAATAAATAAATAAATAAAACCAAGGAGACAACCATGCACAATAAGGAACTGACTGCCTCCCTCAAGATTTTAGAAGACTCCACTGGTCATTAAGGTAAAAAGCCAGTTCATCTTAATCTAGAACTTTATTATATATATAAAAGTATTTCATGTTTTAGTATAGAATGAATTTTCTAGAAATGTAACTATGCTGTAAATTAGATTCTACTTTGTTCAGATTTTTACCAAAATTACTCACAATTTGAGAAAAATCAGTTTGGTTGGTGACTTGGCCCTCATGGTATTTGAATTGCCAGTATAATACATCTGAAATCTGTCTGTTATTATAATTGTCACATTCACTGAGATTGTTGGCATTAGTGCAATAAGTCGGCAATTGCTTACTTCATAAAGTCTTCTAATGTAGGCAAGAGTCTAAGCATTAATATATTTAAATAGTATGCTATTTTCTAATAAAATACTTATTCTACTTCTCTATTTCAATAACAGCATTACATTGGGATTTTTAAAAATTAGTTAATGAGTAGATTTTACTGCCTCTAACTCTCATTTCAAGATATTATAGACTTGACAAAGTATTTGTTAGAGGGAAACAGTGGACTAAAGAGTGTGGGACTGGCTTACACTTTAAACATCATATACCTAAACTAATAAAGAAGTCTCCTAACTGCTAACTTGGATTCTATACACTTACTCTTCCAAGCAAAAGTATCTATAGATAGAAATAATATTGGTCATTTTTATTTACATCTTCAAAACACAACAGAGCTCCCAAATGCTTGGCAGTCATTTCAGTACTGAGATTTCTGTGACTTTCCATAAATAGATTCCTTCTTCCCAACCTAATATCTTATCAGGCCCACATCACAGATTATACACTCCATTCAGAAAACCTTTCCAAGTAGCCATAAAGACAGTGGAAACTAGAATCCTAATCTGCCACTTATTTGGAGAATATGCCTGGACAAGTTACTTATCACTTTCTGAGTTTCTCCATTTCTTAACTGAAAATTAAAGTCCTTCCTCAGAAAATCAAAGTTTGTATGAATCGAAGTTCACTACAGGCCGTGTTACTTAGGCATCCCAAGGTCCTTCGATGGCACCTGACACATAGCAGTTCTCAAGAAATGTCTGTAGTATGAAAATATTTGCTTTTTGAAACCTATCGAGGCTAGCCCATCAAACTGTTTGCTCCACAAGTGTATCAGACTGAGTCACAAATTGCCTGCTCACTGGAAGTAAATACCTAATCACTGCTCTCAAGAGACTAAGAAAAACACTGGAGAATGACAGGTCAACATAAAATACCACTAGACAGTATACGACTAGTAAAAAAATGACATGGGCAATAAAAGTGTTATCTAAAAGCATGATATATGACTGTGGGCTGAAGAAGCATGGAATTTGGAGTGATAAAAGGCTCAATCTCACCTTTCCAGACTTTATCCATCTAATCCATTTTTCCTATATATAGCCAGAGAAAAAAATCATACAATGGCCCAAGCCGTCACTTCTCTACTTAAAACTCACCAAAGAGTTGGTACCACCCAACTCCTTCAGAATACCCCAACTCTTTCACCTGGATTACCACAGGCTTGGTTTTTTCCTACTCCCCCTTCATCACTGGGGACTGCACTGACCATTAAGACAGTCACTGACAACATACCTCTGCTGAGCACTTGATATGTGACCAGTCCAAACTGAAGTGTGCTGTTAATATAAAATACCGTGTTCTAAAGACTTAGTACCAAAAAAAAAGATGTAAAATAACTTTTACTCACTAACTTTTACATCAACGAAATGCTGACGTCTAATTGTGGGCATATTGTGTTAAATACATGCAGTCAAAATTAAGCCCACTTAATTTCTTCTCTCCTTTTTTAATAGAACTACCAAAACCTTAAAAAATACACGTGGCTCGCATTAGGTTTCTGTTGGGATACTTTCTTCCCTGGTTCTACATGTCCGTCTGAATGAAACCCTTGCTGTTTCCAAAAGGGCCCGGTTTTCCTCACCCAGTTTGCCTGAAACATTTTGCCCTCCCCTTTTCATGAGCTGCTACTCATTTTTCAGACCCAAGTTTTTAACTATCGCTTTCTCTATAAAGCTTCCCTGAGCTCACCCCCCAACTCCCCCAAGACCCGACTGGGGGCTCCTCCCCTGAAGCAGATAGAATAAACGCAGCCTTATCACACAGTATCTGCAACTGCCTGTTTTTCCTGGTCTCTCTTCGACCAGACTGGAAGCTCCCTGAGGAACAGACTCTCCGAACACGCCTAGTCATAAACGCGTGGCCAGGAGCGACGTTCCGCCGAACGCACGAACCGGGAAGAAAGACGGTGCAGGAACGCCCAGAGCACCCGGGCACAGAGGGCTGAGGCGGGAAGTAGCAAGGGATTGCCAGGGTCGAGGCAGCTAAGAGCCGGCGAGGTGCGGAAGCCGCTGGAGGGACTCACCTGACCGTGGTCAATGTCTGCGTCAGGTCGTTTGGTCGAGGGCGGCGAGTACTCGGCGTAGCGCAGCCCGTCAGCGGCGGGAGCGACGCCACCACGGGCCGCCATGGCAATGCGGCCGAAGGGAGACGCGGTGCGCCCGGCGCCGCCTACGGGTCGGCCGCTGGGACAAACTAGTTAGGGCGGGCTCGTTCGCGGACTTAGGCCAAGGCTTCCATGCCTGGTGATGTAAAAAGGCAGGGCCCCGGTGGTCTCATTCGTTTTTTGATTGGTTGGTTGGTTTGCTTTTTTTTCTTTTTTTTAAATTTATTTATTTTTATTTTGTATATTTTTTACATCATTTTTCATTTTTGCGCAATGTATGCCTTCCCATCCTGGTTATAGTCCCCACACAACCCTCACCCCCCCCATCCTGGCCCTAATCCCTCCCCCACACCAAACCCCATAGTGTGTCTCTGGTTTATAGTTGCTTGTTGATTTTGATTTTTACTTTATTATAATTAGTCTTTTTTCTGGTCCCTTATTTAGGTTTTCTAAATTCCTCCTATGAGTGAGACCATCTGGTATTTTTCTTTTTCGTTCCTGGCTTGTTTTGCTGAGCATGATCCCTTCCAGCTCCATCTGTTACAGGGCAGGGAGAGGGACAGCCCAAACCCCGCAACCTGCCTATTCTAAATGGGTTCTTCCATCCGCCGCATCAACACAAAACATGAGACTTTAATGGGAAGAAGCTTTAATAAAACTAGGAAGCAATACAGGAAAGGCAAAGACTCTAGTTTCTAAATGAAGCACCCAAAGTTACCCGTCCCCTTGTGGGTAAAAATCCATCCACATGGGATCAGCCCAGAGCAAGGCCCCAAAGTCTGCCACAAGTCTAAAGCATGTTCCAGTGGAGACCCACAGAAAAGGGTCAGAAACAACCAGACAAGCCCGGAAGGAAAAGAGCAAAATCAAGATAAAAGCTGCCATTGTCATCTCCCCACGGGTCTCACCCACATCTGTGTCACCCAGTCCATGACCAAAAGGCAAGCTCAGTTTCTTCACATATCTCTCCATTCCATGTGCCTCCTCCAGGTCTCCTTCTGGCTCTGCATCCTGCTTCCTTCCTTCCTCAGTCTCCTTTGCAGCTTCTTCTCTTCCTGCTCACCTCCACCCTCCCTTGGGTGGGGCAGGGAACCTGGAACCTCCCCCTTTCCTGGGGACCACCCTGTTACACATCCATGTTGCTGCAAATTGCAGGAGTTTATCTTTTTGATTGCTGAGTAATATTCCATTGTGTATATGTACCACATCTTATTGGGGCTGGGATCTACTGTTGGTTTAAAGCCAAGGGTGGCTCAGAATTCAGGCAAAGTCCCCAGGGAAGCAGAGGGGTTTTTGTTTATTCCAGATTAGCAGGCCCAAGGCCCAACACCCACAGTGTGTTTCCTGGGTCATTGGATTGTGGGACAAGAACCTGTGGTGCTTCAAAGGCTAAATTAACAGTGCACAGCAGCTTCACAATTGTTACAGGGCAACCCTGCTATAAAACGGGTTGCCTGACTGTGGGTCCTCACCTGTATGCTTAAAAGGGACTTATTTAATACTCAACTGCAGGTGCACACAAAATGTTAATAAAAAGGTTTATTTACAAGGGAAGGGGAATGAGGAACTGTACAACTCAGAGAGAAAAGTGGGAGATAAGGTCTTAGATGTGTCCTACCCATTCTGCCAACCTAGAATTCCCAATGGCATGCTGAGAGCTGGCAAGAGCCAAGAGCTGTGAGGCCAAGAGAGCCACCCAAAGCCCACGTGCCTGGTTTTCCACCAAACCTGGCTGTTTAACTCTGCCCTCAGGTCCCAGCAGCCCTCCCATTGGTAATGGGATTTGCCATTTCCAGTGTCCTGATGGCTTTGGTCTGGAGTGGGGGTGGAGTCCACAAAGCCTGTGTGGAATTAGCTCAGGATGCCCTTTCCCCCTAACACTACTACTATTCATGTTTGTTTTTAATGCCACAATTCTTCCAGCCATAGAAGAGCGAATTTGCTTACTTCCCTCTCTCTCAAACAAATGGCTCTGCATGTTTAACATGAAATTACAAAGAAGCTTCAAAGTTAGTAAATAAATCTTACTCCCCATAAAGGGTGTTCTGTTGACATGGATATAGAAAGACCCATTTTAACAATTTTTAAACCTTGCCCTTTTGGGAACAAAACCAACAAATGAAGCCAACTTGGCAGCTCTTTTCCCCTTTATACCCATTGGAAAAGCAGCATACAAGAAGAGAAAGCTTCTTTTTCCTTTGCTGTATTAAATTTTTGAGGGGCTGTTAACTTTTATTAAGTTGACATTATTAACAGGTGTAATAAGCAGTTAAGTTCCGAAAGGAAGTCACAATTTAGTAGGGAAGATATCGCTGAGGCAGAATGATAATACATGCCAGAACATGAGCACATGCCTTGATCAGCCATATAAAGACAACTGGACAAGGAAAATGGAGAAAAATCTGAGTACTTATGTTCTTTTTTTTTTTTTCTAAGACATGTCCTGTAGTATTTCCATAAATCTATCCAAGTCTTGCTTATTTGTGGAAGGGAAGTAACAATCAGTTTTCAGGGAAGTTGTAAGGATTTTAAAAAAAGAAAGACTATGGAAGCAGCTTAGGGCATCTGAGGTCAGGAAAGGGGGAGAAAGAAGAACCCACAGGGCCAAGGGGAGCGTATAGCAAGGTGGGGGGAAGATGGGCTCAGCAGCTTTGGACCTCAGTTCAAACCCCAATCTATTAAGAGTAGTTCCCTGATTGCCTGCAGACTTAACCCCCAGGTCCACTATTGCCTCAGGCATCTACTCCTTCTTCAATAGCCAGTTTAAAAATCTTCTATAAAAACTACTCATTTTTTAGCATTGTGTTCTTTGCTGAAGTCCGCACAGCAGCAAAGAAAGGATGGAAATGAGCAATTTAGTCCTCTCCCTGACTTCACTAAACATACTTCTCTGGCTTCCCTGAGAACAAAGAAAGAGTATTTTTTGTGAAACCCAAAGGGAAAGCCACATTAAATTTTCATCAGCCTATTTTTATCAGTTATGACACCTCATAAGACAGATTACATTATGTTCAATAGACTTTGTAAAAGAAAAGCAGACACTGGTAATACAGCTTAGAAACGTCTCAGTAAAAAATTGTATTTTAAATATTTGTTGTTTAAAAAGATTCTTGCCAAAAACAACCTACGTATGCCCCAATTTTCTTACCAGTAAAGTGGGGGATAATAATAGCACCTCCCTTTTGAGAATGAAATGAGTTGACTTCTGCAAATGTCTTAGAGCAGTGCTTGATATTGTTGGGAAACAAAATCTGCCATTTCCAATAGATATTTCTCTTTGCTGTAAGAATTATTTCATCGGAAGGACTGTGAAGGCTAGGTAGAGGTTACTGTTTTGTGAGACATTTACCTATATTAAAAAAAAAAAATCTCCCTTTGCAAGGGCATCTCCCTTACTTATAGGAAACCTAATCACTTTAACTCTTACTAATAGAGAAGACTGAACTTAAATATGCATAAATGCCAAGCCCTAGCTTGCTATGCCTTATGGCTGACCTCACACCTGCAATGTCCTTCATCTCAACCTGAAGATATTTACGGTGGTAACTGACCCACATGGGTGAGTTATTCAGTCTTACTGGGTTTCTCCCATGTATACAGGAGGTATACATGTCATTACTAAACTTGTTTTGTTTTTATCTTTTGTCAATCTGTCTGATGCTGATTATTTGCAAGACTGGATAAACCCAGAAAACTATGAGACTTTCCCCTATACTCCTACAATATGAAGTAAGTTATGCAAAAGCATTAGTTACTATTTTCTTTATATTACCTCTTTCTCCTATTTGTTTCCTTGTATTTTTTTCTCCCTGACACTGCCACCACCCAGTTGTATTTGATCCCCAAATGGTTGTTTTCTCTTTGATAAAATTGAATTAGATATTACATATTGATGAACTGTAAGTGTATGTGGGGGGTAGAGAGCTGTTTTCATGAAAATGAAATTAAATGCTTTGTATAGATTTGATAAAAGCAAGTTACCAAAACAGCTGTCAAATGGTGGGCATGGGAAGAGAATCATAAAAACTGAGTTTGCTCTTACACTGTTTACTTTTACACTCAGTTTACTTTTAAAGTGCCTTGTTTCCACTTCATATAAAACAAACTCCAAATAAGAATCACAGAGGATACAGATTATCAATGTGGAAGAAATCTGAAGCAGTTCTGAATCAGAGGACCTGAGCCAAATAAATGGCCTTGCCTTGCAAATATACTCAGTTCATGAAAAGATACTATGTGTGCCTTTGTGGTATTTCATTGGGGAAAGAAGGGTAAGGGTGTGTTTAAAAAATTCATCTGAATGAATTTAAAGATCTAATTTTGTTAAATGATTCATGAATCAAGTATCCTGTATTGCAGTAGAAAGGCTCTGCAAGGAGTTAAATATTTTTAAAGTCAGAAAGAGGGTGAAACAAGGTCATTAACAAAACAAAAAAAAAAAAAAAAAAAAGAAAAAGAAAGGTAATTTTGAATACAATCTTCCCTTAGGAGAAGGCAGGAATGTCTGGTGTATATTTCTTTATTAATACTGACCAGGAAACTCCAGATTGGTTAAAAATGACACTTTTGGATGAGGTTGAAATTGGCAGCTTTTTGAGTATTAGGTTTTGGTGGGATCAGCATGAATTGATTACATTTTGGTTTGTTGTGTCTATGTTTAACAGCTGTGTTGACTTATATAAATTGGGGTTAGCATGACTGAGCTTATTAAACAAATGTGAGGATTCAAACCTAGGAAGCAATTCAATAGATTTTCCTCTTTCAGAACTATTCTAGCAAACAAAAGTTTGAATTTAGTTTATACAGGTACAAAAAGTGAGCCATTTTGCTCTTTTGCTTACCAAACTAGGGGGGTGGTAGTCCAGAAAGCTTCACAATGTGTTCACATATGTTAATAGGAAAAATTAAGGCCTAAAAGAGTTCTTTTAGGGGGCAAAAGAGGCTGAGAAACAGTAAATGTTAACTTATGTTTTTAAAAAAAAAGTTACATTTTATAATGTAATGATGTCATTTTATAATGACATCATTTTAAGAACCCTAAGTTTACT